ATTGACTTCATGGTAAGCATCAAACACTTCCACTCTTGTTTCTCATAACATCTTCAAGTTATCAATCAAAGGACATAGATACATATTTATGTTATTTTCTGGTTGTGTTGGGTCCTGAAATAATCATAGACAATATAATATATTTGCTTTTCATGCATAGCCAATGAGGTAGAATGTAAATGACCAACAAAATTGGCTTGTTTAGTACTTAAGTTTCTATAAGGATTCATGTCATCTGTAGTTAGTCTAATTCTCAGTTTTTTTACTCTGCACCAAATTTTGGAAATATTTCATCAATCATCTTCCATTGTCGAGAATTAGTTGGATGTCAAAGAAGTTTGTCATGTTTTTTTACCATTCGCATATCGTCTCAGGTTTTTAGCATCCTTTTTAATGATAAACAATCTTTTTAATCCAAATATTATTGGCAACTACCATAACATCTTAGTAGAGGGCCATTTGTTTCTTTCTCACCATTATTTCTATAAATTTTCTTTTTGAACTGTGAAAATTCACATGTTAGACATACCTCTAATATAGCAAAATCATTTCTTTACAAATATGCAATCATTAGGGCATGTGTGTATCTTATACTTCAAACCCATTTGACATATTATCTTCTTCGTCTCATAGTTATAATTAGATAAAATGTTATATTTTGGAAATATTTTCTTCAACAAACCAACAATTCTATGAAACTTCTATAAGTTCATCCATTTATTTCTTTTAAAGTAAACAATCTTAAAGTTGTTAATTTTGTAAAGTTACTATATCATGTGTACAACTGTTACTCAAAATCAAACTTCAAAGGATCATACATTTATTCTTCCAAAATTTTCTTTGTTATATCACATACCATATCTTCTAAATTATCGTTCATCCCTTCTTCAAAATTTTCTATTGTTAACATTGTTGATATGTCTAATATTTCTTTGTGTTATGTCTATATTGTATATCTCTTAACAATACAAAAAATAAATAAGTAATCATGTATATCCTCAAGTTTATGATATATTTGATTCAAACAATGAGCGCATGGTCAATAATATATCCCTTCGATATATAGATTTCAATTTTTGCAAGCAAATTTCAAAAACTCGCCAACTCCTTTTCATACTCTTCATTAACTCAACATGTTAGGTCTTTCGAGGGGAGATTTATTGGAGAAAAACAACATTAATAAGATATGAGTTCAATCCACGTAAGGGATTAACACCATTCTCAATAAAAAAACCTTAAGACATTGGAATTATGGGTCATATTTTCTTATATATTGCTTAATTTTTTCATTTTTATTCAATGTGGTTAGATTCACAATTGGATTACCTAACATAACGTGCATTAATCAAAATCTCGTCCATAACTACCTAGGTTGCAAATTTAATCATCATCAATTATACAAATTTAATCATCACCAATTTTTGTCCATGACTATCTTAGGTTACAAATTTAATCATAATCAACTAAAATTTTAAATGAGTAAGTGAGTGAACAATTTAGTCATTCCTAGAGGCTAAAAGTATATCTTAATATTCATATAAAAATAATTTTTAAAGTTTAAAACTAAATTCAAAATTCAAAACGGAAAGCAGTGATTGAATTAAAAATTAACAAAATACACTAGTACAGAAATCACTTTTAACATCGGGCTTTCCACATCGGTTCTTTAAGAACCGATGTAGAAAGTGAATTCAAGACTTTCAACATCGGTTCCCAAATGAACCGATGTAGAAAACACTTTCTACATCGGTTCCCAGATTAAGAGAATTATTACTTGCGGGATTCAAACCCAATACCTTGAAGTCGGAGGCGATACTCCAACCACTAAGCTACCAAGTTTTTCGATAATAACTTATACATAAATTATATTTATATACAAATAAAAATGTATATCCATGTAAATATATAAATATAAAATATATAAATACAAATACAAATATATTTATATATTTATATGTTGGATGTGAGAGCGCGCTCGAGAGTAAAAGTGTGTGTCAAGTGGGTTTTCAAAATTTGATGTCAAATTTGTGAGCAAGTTTCTTTATATGAATTTGTAATTTAATGATAGAATATAATCTTTATAATTTATTTATAATAATATAGAATATAATCTTTATAATTAATTTATATAATATGATATAAAATAAAGAAAAAAAATTATTTTATATCATTATATAAATAAATTATAAAGATTATATTTTGTCATTAAGTTATAATCCATATAAAGAGACCAGCTCATAAATTTGACATCAAATTTTAAAAATTCACTCGACACACACTTTCATCCTCGAGCGCGTCCTCACATCCAACATATAAATATATAAATATATTTTTATTTGTATTTATATATTTTATATTTATATATTTACATGGATATACATTTTTATTTGTATATAAATATAATTTATGTATAAGTTATTATCGAAAAATCCTGGTAGCTTAGTGGTTGGAGTATCGACTTCGACTCTAAGGTAAAAAATATCATTAAATTATATCAGCCTATGATAATAACTTATACATAAATTATATTTATATACAAATAAAAATGTATATCCATGTAAATATATAAATATAAAATATATAAATACAAATACAAATATATTTATATATTTATATGTTGGATGTGAGAGCGCTCGAGAGTAAAAGTGTGTGTCAAGTGGGTTTTCAAAATTTGATGTCAAATTTGTGAGCAAGTTTCTTTATATGAATTTGTAATTTAATGATAGAATATAATCTTTATAATTTATTTATAATAATATAGAATATAATCTTTATAATTAATTTATATAATGATATAAAATAAAGAAAAAAATTATTTTATATCATTATATAAATAAATTATAAAGATTATATTTTGTCATTAAGTTATAATCCATATAAAGAGACCAGCTCACAAATTTGACATCAAATTTTAAAAATTCACTCGACACACACTTTCATCCTCGAGCGCGTCCTCACATCCAACATATAAATATATAAATATATTTGTATTTGTATTTATATATTTTATATTTATATATTTACATGGATATACATTTTTATTTGCATATAAATATAATTTATGTATAAGTTATTATCGAGAAAATCCTGGTAGCTTAGTGGTTGGAGTATCGACCTCGACTCTAAGGAAAAAAATATAAATAATAAAAATATAATATAAAAGGGTTATAAAAGGGAGAGGATAGTCTAGGAAACTCTAGATCAATATATAGGGTAATTAGAGATGTGTTATGAATAAATAAAATAAAAAAAAATATTAGACTTTCTACATCGGTTCCTTACAACCGATGTGGAAAGTCACACTTTCTACATCGGTTGTATCTACATCGGTTCTAGAACCGATGTTAAAAGTCCCTGGGAACCGATGTTAAAAGCCTATTTTGTACTAGTGATAACTGCAACTTTAATTTCAATAACAAAATTCATTGGAGACATTCATGTATTAAAAAGGTGAAGATATATAACACTAACATCAATCACACAAAAAATAATTAAATGTTTTAATTCAATAGGAGAGAAACCTTCCACAAATGAATTACAATGTGAGTGCTCAATGTGGTTGAAAAACACTCAAAGGTGCTTGTGGAGTTGTTCTCACCGATTCACAGGATTAATCCTCGCACGTGAGAGAAAAGAAGTCTTGGAGGAGATAAAACACAATTTTTATACGGGATCATGTAGGGTTTAATATAAAAAAGTTTCAATTATTTTCGAAGATATTGTTATATTTTTTTTAAGTCGATTATTTATTAGTAAAAAAAACGGTTCACATGACAAAAATTATTTTTCACTAGTAATTATAATATCAAAGTAATTTTGTAAGATAGAATCGATATTTTAATGAAAACATTCGATATTGTTCTTATTTTTTTTTGTTGGACATTGCAATGTGTATAAAACACGTCTCCTATATATGTTTTTAGCAACATTTAACTACTTACATTTTAAAATGTTACTAATAACACCATTTAGTAACACTTTTAGCAGTATATTATTTACTTCTTTCATAGAGTTTGAATAATTGTTTTCTTATTCTCTTTTTTATACTTAAGATTTATGTCTGGCGCAAAAAGAATGTTACTTTTAAATTTTTTATTCATTTAAATTCTTTATTAATATATATATATATATATATATATATATATATATATATATTTAAATCGATCATCATAATTTTATTATTTTGAGGTTTGTTTTATACCGTCTAAACATTGACCTTTATATTGAATGTTGGATCATTGTTCAGACGAGTTTTGATATGAGTTTGAGTTTGAGTTTAGACATTTCTCTTTATGCTTAGTAAATTAATGTTCCAATAATTTAATATTGATTTATGTGCAACAAAATCGAATGGGTTATTATAAGGAACTATACCTAAAAATTATAACAAATGAAAAAAAATATATATACATCAAGATTTTAGACTCAACAAATATTTTACGATACAATTATTATCATTTAACATTCAACTTTTTTTTGTGTACTTCATCATGTTTTTATTTTTATTTTATTTTCGTGCATTTTATTCATTAAATAAATTTCTAATCGAGTGATGGTATATTACAAAAGTTAACACAAAAATGCTATAATGTCCTTTTGCTATAATTTTTGCAAAACCAAATTGTTTTGATAACATTTTATATTTATAATTTTTTATGAAGCACTATTTCTTTGTAAAAAAATTAATAGTTCAAGTAAAATATATGAAAATTAAAATATTTATGGTTAATGTATTATTAAACAAAAATAATTGTTAGAATTTTGTTTTAACATTCGGTATCTAATTATTAAACACCTATTCACAAAGTTATCTAGAGAAAAATTCAGATATATATATGTATATATATATATATATATATATATATATATATATATATATATATATATATATATATATATATATAATACGATAAGAAAGGAGAAATAGAGAAAAGTAAAAATAAAAAATGGTGTCAAAAGTCATTGATTTCTAAAAGTAGAAGGTTAATTAATTTCAGGACATGTTTGTTGGTGGCACTGCAGCACCAGCAACAGTTACAGTGTGGGCAATGTCAGAACTCATGAGAAACCCAAAGGCGATGGAGAAGGCACAGGCTGAGGTAAGAAAGGTGTTCAATGAGAAAGGGTATGTGGATGAAGCAGACCTTGGACACTGTCAATTCTTAAACTCAGTGATCAAAGAAACACTGAGGCTACATCCCCCAGAGGCATTGCTACTTCCAAGAGAAAACAGTGAGGCATGTGTGATCAATGGGTATGAAATCCCTGCAAAGAGCAAGGTCATTATCAATGCCTGGGCCATTGGAAGAGACCCTATGTATTGGAATGACCCAGATAGGTTTGTACCAGAGAGATTTGAGAACTCCTATGATTTCAGTGGCACACACTTTGAATACATACCCTTTGGGGCTGGAAGGAGAATTTGTCCTGGAGCTGCATTTTCCATGCCAAACATGTTGCTGTCACTGGCCAGTTTGCTTTACCATTTTGTTTGGAAACTGCCAAATGGAACAACACACCAAGAACTGGACATGACTGAGTCCTTCGGTCTTACTGTTAAAAGAGCAAATGATCTTTGCCTAATCCCCATTCTTTATCACCCATCCACAATTGGCCACCAGTAAAATCTCTTAGTTGAACTAGCTGTACCTGTTCATCCATGTCTAGTGTATTAGCACATGTAGAATAAAATGAACATGGGTGTGTGTTTTGTTTTAAGGATTATAAATGTATTTTCAGAAAATGTGAAGTTGAGAACATAATATTTCATGGTTGTAGATGATTGTATTTTGCGTAATCCTTTTGTATTATGAGAATGCTTATTTCTAGTTTTGTTAGGTTATAAAAAATAATTTTTATGTATTGTTAAGAAAATTATGTATCTATTAATTATATAGATTTGGAGTATAAAAGTTATATGGGCATAGAGAACAAAAAAACATAAGTTGTTTTTTATCATTTATTATAATTTCTATTATTTTATTAATTTATTTTAATAAATTCAAATTTCTAAATTATTTCTTAAAATATAAAAAAGTTAATCAAATGTATTTTTAAACATGTTTACTAATATTTTGTTCAATATGAATTATATTTTTGACAATATAAAATCATAACTTTAGAAATCTCGGCTTTATTATATTTTAAAGTTATTACTTAATATTGTCTATTTTTTAGAAAGTGATTATACAAAGTCATTTCTAATCTCATGTACACACGAAAGTTGTTGTAAGTTTTTTTTTTTTTTTATTTGTAAAAAAGTAAAATGTTAAATAAGAATATGTTTAGTTAATTAATTAAAAATTATAAACAGACTAAAATCTGGAATATTTACTTTTTTTTTCAGAATTTTTGTCGTCAGGTAAATTAGAGTTCTTCGTTATGTAATATCCCACTAACAATTACATAATTATAGAACTAAGTACGCTGATAATAATAAATATAACGTATACATGAATGCTTATAAAATATTATAAATATCTTCCTTCTAGGAATTATATAAATAAACCAAAATGTAAAATAAGATAAAACAAAATATCTTCTACATCATTTTATTCCTTCACAAAATAATATATGATTATGTGTCAACACATTATCATCATATTGAAAAAAACACACATTATCATTATATTAAAAAATAACACACAAAGCTAATATAACAAAAATATCACAATACAATACATTCACAATATTACATCCATACTCAATCATCATACATTTTTCAAAATATGCTTAAACACTAAATATTAAATTAAGAGTCTAATTATCATTTTATTAACTATATCACATGTTATAACAACACCATAGTGCATATAGGACATTTCACATTTATTATTTTATCTTTTTACATTTGAATATAGATCGATGTTAATACGAGAGACATAAATTTACGTGAGTCATTTTAATCAACGTAAATTTATGTCGGATTTTATAAGTATGAACATAAATTCATATAGTAGATCAGACATAAAAGGATTTGAAAAAAATAAAAAAAAATGTCAAAATTTACGTTGGGCATGTCCATACCCCGATGTACATTTATGTTGACCTTACCCATAACAAACGTAAATTTATATCGGATATGATGAGCATGTCCAACATAAATTAACACTTTTTTTAATATATAGTTTTTTTTATTTAATAATCCAAACCTATATAAAAAACATTTATATATACGAGACACAACAATCTAGAGTATAACGTAATTATATATAATTACTAAAGCACATCAAAATGTCTCAAAAAATTAAAATATTTACTAAATACAACAAAATTATCCTAAGTAAGATTAACTACATTTACAAAGTTTATAAGTATCTGTCACCGCCTCCCAAAAAAAAAAGGGGGGAACGGTCGGAGCGACGCGATGGTTTTTCGACTCTTCTTTGATTTTCGCGTTTTTTATTGGTGGTTACAACGTCCTTAGGTTGTCCGATAACCGGGCTAACCTAGAGACGAGGTTTTCAAAAAAATCCCTGAGTTGTCCGATAACCGGGCTAACCCAGGGATTTATTTAGTTTGGGATCTATGGAGTCGCCACCGATGTTTTTACCGGAAACATCGGAAAAGGGGTTTTAAAAGGCGTTGGTTTTCGAAAACCAACTTTGGTCATTAGAACCAGAGTTGGGTAAGGGAGTTGGTTACGTGCAAAGGGAGTATTAGTCCCTTTACGACGCCCCTTTCGGGTTCCCTATGACAGGCCGACTTATTTTATTGATAAACTAGAAAAATACACTTTCGCCCTTTTTATTCTGCGGAATTTAAAAGTATGACTACATGGCCCTAATATCTATTGCATAATTTAAGATAAAAACGGTAAAGGTGAAGGGAGAGAATTTGAACCTTCGAAGCACGCTTTTTATATTAATTCTCTAAAAAATAGGGTGCTTTATGGCAGCCCTTCACTCTACAAGACGTCGGAAAACCTCTCGAACGCCGAAAATCACTCTTGAAAGCACTCAGAAACTCCGGAAATGCGTCGGAGGGATTCTAGAGAGAAGTTTTTAGAGAGAAGGGAGAGCTATGCATCTGTGGTGTGTGGAAATGAGGGGGGGAGAGCCCCTATTTATAGGTTTTCGCGCTGTCAGGTGGCGAGACCGCTGGTCTCGTCTGACAGGGTCGAGACCGCCGTCTCGACCTGTCAAAATGGCAAGACCGCCATCTGGGTGAACGAGACCGCTGTATCGTCCTTCGTAGGTGGCGAGACCGCCGTCTCGTTAAGCGAGACGGCGGTCTTGCCTCCTACGTGAGGCGAGACGGCGGTCTGGGTTGTCCAGATGGCGGTCTCGTCCCTTCGAGGCGAGAAAACTTATTTTTTGGTACAGAAACTCCCTCCTATCCTAGTATGGGGCCTAATAGTCTCTCCTAATGGCTTGTTAGGCTTGTCCATCTTCAAATAGGAGGTCTTCTGGTCTTTATTTGGAGGCCGGGCAAGATTTGGGGTCTACAGCTGCCCCCCCTTTATCTGTCCAGTCGACTGCTGGCCTACTGTGCCAGGATGATCGACTGGGGGGTAAAGGAGTTGACCCTCTTGCCCGGTTGCCCTTCGAACGTCCCGTCTTGCGGCGATTGATCTTCTGGGGAAAACTTTGGTGTTTGTGCACTTCCGAGATACTACTTCTGACGTAGCCGATCCCTTCAGTGAACATGTGGTAAGACCTCAGGAACTCCTTCTGACGGAGCCGATCCTTCGGTTGATGGGTATGAACCCCCCACCTGGTTTGACGAGTATGAACCCTCGCCTGGTAAGCCCCCTTCTGTAAGGCCTGATGAGAACACACCCCCATCTGGTATTTGACGAGTATGAACCCCCGTCTGGTAGGCCCCCTTTTGTAAGGCCTGATGAGTACACACCCCCATCTGGTGTTTAAGCCTCCGGATGCTCCATCTTGCGGTAGCTGATCCTTTGGCCGTGGTGGCGGCTTACTGATTCTGACCACGCGCCTGTGTGAAACCTTGGGATGCTCCTTTGACGCGGTAGCTGATCCCTTGGCTGACGAGTATGAACCCCCGTCTGGTTGGTAGTTGCAGTCCGTTGTGTGGGACCGGATGGGTATGATCCCCCCATCAAGGTGGTACAGTCCGTTGTGCGGGACTGGATGGGTATGAACCCCCCATCAGGGTGGTAGTGCGACTTACTGATCCGGCTCGAGCGCAGATCAGGCGCAGCTCTCTGGAGAGTGCTGCTTTTCGGATTTCCTGAATAGTTATCCGGGTCATGCCGGGGATTTTGTTGGTGTTCATCCAGCCTTATTGATTTCCGGGGATCCCTTTTTTGTTCTTTTGGTAGTGATCATCCGATCCTGGCTGATTGGTCGGATGGATTTTGGTTTTGTTTGAGTCTTGTTTGGTAGTCGAAGCTTTGTTAGTTGGTGTGATGGTTTAATCCTGCCTTTTTCTCGCGGTTTTGGATTCTGGCTTTTTATTGAGCGTGTGCCTTTTTCTTTTTTAAGCTTCTTTTTTTTTTTTTTTTTTTTCGTTGCGCTGGCTTTTTGAAAGGATGGCAAAAAGATGCACGAAATAAAATTTTCATTTCATGAGGAAATTTTTATTACATCCCTATTTTTTTTTGGAGCTACTATCCCTAGGGGCTATCTTCTGGGCCCGATCCTTGGGGAGGGTAATGCTGGTACATATGGTATCTGAAGTTCTCCTGCTCTTGGACTTCATCCTGGTACCGTTGCTGAAAAGTCGCCCAATCCTGGCGCATGCTTTGTTGGTAATGGTACATTTCCCCCAGTCGGGTGTCAAAGGCCTCCTGCCTTTGGGACAATTGCTCCACTGTTTGGGATAGCTGCTCATGCCTCTGGGACACCTGTTCTTGCCTCACAGTCATACTGTTGAGCTGTTGGCATAGGTCGTTCATGTGGAGGTGCATGCCAGCGAAGTCGTCTGTATACCGGGGCGGCTGCTGCTTGCTGTCTGTTGCTGCTTGGACGTCGGGAGATGTAGGCATTTCCGCATCACATCATGGAGTTCTAATGCGAAATCCGGGGTGGGGTGGAGAGCCAGCTGGCTCCCTCTGCTGATCAGCATTCCCATGCTGACCAAGATCGACCCGCCGATGAATTCGGGTCGCAGATTGTGGGCCAGCTCTTCCCGGCCAGGGCACCCAAACCTTTCTGCCAAGGGGGTGATGAGGGGAGCAATGAGGACGACCCCTGCAGATCTGTTCCCGAAGTCCTTGAGGGCTCTCAGGAAGAAGTACCCGGGGTTGCAGCGCCGCCTTTGGCTCATGCAGTATAGTATGAAGAGGTCAGGGAGGGATATTTTGCCCTGGCTCTCTTTCCTCCCGTGTATAGTTCCAGCCAGCAGCTTGTGGCAGATGCGGAGTGCTGGGGGAAGCGCAGATCCCCTCATCAGCGTGGGCAACGTGGTGGCTCCCGTGAGCTCACGCCACATCTCGGCAGCAGTAAGGTGGGCGGGCCGTGAGCAGATGGCGTCACGGTATTCCTGGGTCATGGCCTCCTCGGGCCGGACGAACCCGATGGCCACGTTGAATTCTCTGAGGGTGGAAGTCTGGTACTGCCCACCCATAAAATACGTCACCATCTGAGTGGGCTGTAGGCCCGGGACCATGGAGGGGCTCTCGGAGTAGGAGACGGAAGCTAAGAATTCCAGCATC